AAAAAAAAAAAAAAAAAAAAAAAAAAAGTTGAACATTAAGTCATTAAAAATTCTTACCTCCATATGGTGCAGCATACGGCCCATATGCTGAAACAAAAAAAAATTTTTTTTTTTTATTATCTCAATATAGAGATTGAAAGATTTAAATAATTGAATGAAATATTTAATTAATTTTTTATACTATATTGTCAATTACATTGTTTTGTTTCAGCATAGATAAAAAATAAAGATTTTATATTAAAAATTGTTCTTTAAATGCATATTGTGAGTACATCAAAAGTAAGTAATTTTGATATTTATTAATAATTTATTCCTGATGTAAAAATTTAAGCCAGGATTTCCAATATTGTATATATTTTATTGAAAGTATGACGAGTACTTAATTAATACTATGAGAATTTTTTATTGATCTAAAAGAAGTTATAATCCCTATTCATTGAGCCAAAAACCATAATGTTTAACTTTTAAGATAAATAGATTAATTTAGACCATGATACAAGTATAAAAGAATAAGAATTTTGCAGATGAACTTTCTTATATATTATACCATCAAAATGTTAGTGTCATAATTAAAAAAATTGCCAAATTTGAGTAAGAAATGCCTTCTTACTACAAAACTTACTTGCTAAATGATTTGTTAGTGCACTTTAATATTTATACAATATTTCATATACAGGGTGATTGGCTAACAATGCTTCACGTAATATCTTTAAAGATACAAGTGTTATAAACAATTTTTTTTTTTTTTTTTAATCTTTATGGATCTTTGATGAGCTGTTTCACAAGAAAAATTAAATTTCTATCACCATTCCTTATACTTAGAACTTGTATTAACTTCAGGTTTTCAAATGACAAACCCATATTATTTTTATATATTTTTGTTGTTATAAGTGTTGAGCAAAAAAAAAAAAAATTTATGAAATTTAAACAAGATAGGCTACTTTAAAATATATGATATTTGAAGAAAAAATGCAGTAGTTTTCTAAACAGTACATTATTATTTTATATAACGATAAGAATTACCGATTTACTTTGACAACGCAGGTAGTCTATTACTTAAAACTGGTAGCGCTTATTGATTTACAACCTATAACGTTAGAGTCTGTTATGATTTTTTTTATTACACTAAATAGTTAACATTTTTCTTTATTTGTATGCCCTCCTAGAATTCCAATACACCACTGAAGGTATGACTTTCAATTATTTTTTGTTAAGGTTTGTTTTAACTGAATTGTTTATGCTAATGGATATATAGATATGCTGCGAATTAACTATTTAAAAATAAAAAATACTAATGAACACGTTCATTTCACGAAAAAAAAAAAAAAAAAAAAAAAAAAAAAAGTTCCTTCAGTTTTTGAGTCATAAGTTCATGTATCTTGAGAGAATATACTGAAACTTTTTAACACTTGGTGCAAATCACATTATCACAAATAANTTTAGTTAACATTTTGATTACTGAATAAAATACCATATTGAATAATGATTTAAGTCTACAATGTCTAGATCTATAATTATTATATCAAAACTAATTTTTTTTAGTTACTACACAATTTTACAATCATTTTAATGGTACAGTATTCAAACAACATTAAATGTGCAATCAAGTGATATATTTAATAGACTGAAAGAGGAAAATTCAGTTTTATTTTTAAATCGCCTGCCTAGAAAAAAAACTACCCATAACAAGTATTTATGATTGTGTAACATTTAAATACACCTAGTCAAAAAATTTAAAACTATTTTGAAATAAAATATAAAATTAACAGACCTCCACGAGCAGCTCCTCTACCTCTCATTGTTTTTGGATTTGAATACGGATTGGCAGGTTTAGGTGCAGCTTTTTTGACATCAACCTATAATTAGATCTATAATGAAAAAATCAAACCTTTAAAAAAAACCATTATTAGTTACATACTTCTTTTCCTTTAATAGTCTGTTTTGCAGTTTTAAATAAATCTTGCACTTTGTCACTAGATTCATACGTAATAAAACAATATCCCTTTCGTTGATTTTTCATTTTATCAAATGGAACCTCCAAGTTCACAATAACACCCCATTTTCCAAAAAACTCTTTTATTTCATCATTGGTAACATCTGATGGTAAGCCTCCAACAAATACTTTTTCTTGTTTGGCTTTAGCTTTTTTAGGATCAATTTTTTTTCCATTTATCACGTGATCTCCAGCAGCAAATGCCTTAAAATAATTAAAATTAAATTTTTGAAAATGAGAAAAAATGAATTTGTTACATTATTTAATCCTTCAACTGATTTAAAAATGATAAAAGCAAATCCTCTAGAGCGCCCAGTGGCAGGGTCAGTTTTGAGACTGATATTTGTTATTTCACCATATTGAACAAAATGTTCTTTTAATTCCTCTAAAATTTTTTAACTTACAGTAAATATTGTGTAAAAAAGAATAAAAAATTAATTACTTTCTGTTGTTTCCCAGCTTAATCCACCAACAAATAATTTTCTAAAATAATAAAAATACAAATTAGTATATATAGTTATATTGTCATACATTTGAAAATATTATCTTTTTACTATATTTTTAAACACATACAATCACAAATGGATATGATAAAAGATTAGGAATTCAGGTAGACATAAATAAATTGTATACAAGAGAAAAACTCCCTTTATATAAGAAAATTATTTATTAATCCCAGTATGTAATTTATGTAATAATAAAAATTAAATATATTTCAATGTTCAATTATAACAAATAATTACTCTATTTAACTGACTTTTTTTTTTTTTTAATAAAACAACACTATTTTTACATTCTTAAAAGTAATATTTCAAATAATTCCCTTTAATCTTCTCTAATAAAAAAATACATATAAAATCTAAATCATAATATTAAAAACTTGTATTAGTATTTTAAAGTAATTGAATTTGATAATCTGAAACCTGTGTACAACAAATACAAATAAGGAGTCAATATAAAGGAAAAGGATTAGAAATTAAAATTCAACATATTAAATAATTCTGCTAGCTGCTATTTTTCTCAAATTTTATTTTAATAGAAAAATTTTAAGTGTAATTAATTATTAATTAAACACACATGATTTATATTTCCAATTAAAGTTCTTTTTAATTTATGAAAAAATATTTTATTTTAATTTAAACATAGCATAAATTTAATACATTAATTCATTAACTTTATAAGCAAGATTAAAAATTGAGATTAACACTTTTATAAAAATTTTTATTTTAAAATAAAAAAATCACATTAATAATCAATTTATAAAATATTAATAATAATGTCTTAATAAAACCAAGAAATAATGATTGTAACAACTAAATATTATTTTTATTATTCAATGCTGGTATTAAAAATGTTTAACAAAATTAATTGATTATACATAAATTTCTTTAGAAATAATTTTCTAGGAGACAAAAATTGCAGCTAGGAAGAAACCTAAAACTATAGCTTAAAAATCCAAATGTCATAAAAAAAAAATTGGTTTATATTTAAAATATGAAAAAAAAAAAAAAATATTCATACTATGGAATTTCAATAACTTATAAAATTATAATAGCTTAAAATATTTTTTTAAAAGCCATTTAGATTTTTATATTTATATTTTATAAATCATGCATTGTTTGTTCTAGACAAACAAGCTTATTTTTTTTTTTTATCATTATTTGGAGAATGAGGAAAGATGACAATAAAAAGAAATAATAAGGCATAAGTATCAATATAAATAAATTTACCATTTAAAGTAACATAGTGGATAAAGTAAATATTACAAAAAAAATTACATTTAATGTTTATAGTAAATATTTTAAATATAATTAGATGTGAATTCAGTTTTAACTAGAGAATCTTAAACCAAGAAATCTGCAATTAAACATACGAGTTTTATAAAATGATTATATCTGAAATTACAATGTATAAACTTTTATTTATCATCTTCTAATTGATTTTAAATTGAAACTGCTTAATTATTTTACTGAAACTTAAGAATGTATATATAAAATTAATTTTTTAAGAATTTGTGAACAAATCATTCTCCATTATTTTATCGAATAATACTTAATGATTCCTACCATTTGGTAGGCGTTGTCTGCTTCTAGTAGTTGCAGAAATGACACTCAACCATTGTCAATTGTATACCTGAGGTACAATGTGTCCAATATTTTAACATCTTTTCTTGAATGAAATGACATGATCGTCACCTGCGCATATTTATACACCACGTTGAAAGGTAATCGATACATAGGCCTATACGGTCCTGAAGAGACGCAGATATCATGTTTAGATTTACAAGAATTATCTGCTTGTACAAATTGTTTAAGAATTAAAATATATATGAACATTATTTTGGTTTCCAAAAATAATTATCTTGAAGCCCATTGAGAAGAATTTGAAACCCTTGTGTAGTAGGTAAGTCAAAACGTAGATCTTCATTAAATTTATTAATTTATTAACATAAAATATTTTAATTAACATGATGTATACATAAAAAAAAAAATTTAACAAAAGTACATATCATTTTAACTAAGTTACAAGATAATATCAAGTGTTATCAAATTATCAAATATAACATCAGTGATATTAAGTTAAAAACGTATCAGCTTTTTCAAAACTAATGAAAGTAGTAGATTTTTGAAATAAAATTTTAAATAATTCATAATAGCGTCTCTTTATGACCAAATTTGGAATATTTTATACTTACATACAAGCCACTTCACTTGAATCTAGGTAATAATAATTAACTCATCATCTTATGAATTTATAATCATCATCAAAAAAGTAATTTTTATAACGTTAAACACCTAATCATAATTACTTATACTCAACATTTATTACCAAAATACTATAAATTTTTGATTTAGTTAAAGATAGAGAAATTTGTTTAAGTATGTGTACTAGATAATTACAGAATTACGAAAAGACATTAATTTACTCAAATGGACTAACAAATATAATAATGATATAATTAGTTATAGGTTAATTTCATACTAACTAAATTTATTTAAGTGATAATACATGTCAGAAAATTTTAAAAAATGTCAATAATTTAATGTATTAATAATAATAATCATGGATTACGTTTATTTAAGGACACTACTAAGATATCAGGTATGTTTTTTAATATTTTTAACTTAGAAAAAACTAAAAACGGTATAACAGTTTGACAAATCAAAATTACAAGCATTTTTGAATTTTAATTTCATCAAATCAAACTATGTGATAGAAGTACTAACATATGTTATTCTATAGTTATCATGTCAGCTAGATTAATGAAAGGAGGACAATTTTAGAACTATAATAAATTTTTAAATCTTTACTTAGACACCTTCAAAAAGTACAGCACTATCTTTTATAAAAACAATAATACAGAAATCATATTTCTCAGAATAAACAAAGTTGATTAGATATTAAAAACAAAAAAATATGTTTATTGTATAAATCACTATTTAAATTAAACAAGTTTAATTGTTCATAAACAATAAAATAATAATTTAACACTAATTTTTAAATAACTATTTTAGCTATAATAAAGATAATTTTTACCTTTTAAACTAAACTAATGAAAAAATATTTGAAAATAGGGAAATTTGTTTAATTTGACTATTGCCCAGAACAAAATTTACTACAATTAAACAAAATCAACCATTATAAATTCCAAATTTACTATCCTCACTACAATATAAATATATTCAATAAAAAATCAACTATGTTTTCTTCAATTTATTAAATATTGCCGTTAACAAATTGGTCGAAGATTATATACTTTAAAAAATTAAAACGCTATTTATATGTCGTTGAAAACAAAAATATATATTAAAATTAATATCACAATTGAATACTCTTAATTTTCTTATTTGAGGCAATCGTATAAAAAATAGGTTATTTCGGCCAAGTTCATAAAAATAATTAAACCATGCATTAAAAAGGTTTATAACTATCGTAGTAAATGGCTAAATTACCTGTCATCTTCTTTAGCTAACTCTTCCTGTGTGCTTGGTTGTTCAACTCCATTGTTTTCATTTGTTCCGTTTGTCTGCTGTTCATTTTGTTGATCGTCAGACATAATTGCAAACTTTTTGAGTTATTGTAGGTGCAAGATCAAAAAAGGCTAAGATATTGATGAGCTATAAACGCGAGTATAAATACTAGTTTAAACAAAATTGGTAGGCTATTACTTTTTGATACAAAATTTGCGAAAATGAAGATTATGGCGAAACAATTTTATCTAGTTAATGCGAGCCGGATTTCAAATTTAGACACGAGAAGACAGAAAAAGAAAGCCTGATTTACTGTGACAATATCAAAAATTTTAAGGTTGAGGTGTTCAATAGAAAGCCGTAATAAAATGGCTACCGCCATTGAGATGTCGGGGTAAGCGGGGTAACGCTAGACATCTTCAGTTTGACCAACATAAAAAACCTGACTTTGTTGTAATTTACATTGTGTTATCAACCATGTTACCATGAATTTTGAGTAATATGTTGTATTAAATTGTACAAAACTAATCACCCGCGGAATCCTCAACTAGACCCTCATTAATTTTGAGGTTCACATGCGACTGGTGCCAGTAATGAATCGAATAAGCTATTGATTAGACTGGCGTGACCAAAAGTTTACCGCTAATCTCGTCACATAATGAGTATTTTCCAGAGGCTGTTAAAGTTGTACATGTACAACGTGGGTGCTTTGTACCATATTTTTCGTATATTAAGCGCCGGACGCTTTTATCACAATAATACTAGTATTTTTTTTCATAATTATTTTGAATTCTTTAGTTTGATTTGCTTTAAAAGCGTGTTTTTTTAGTTTTTTTTAAACTATATTTATTTTTCACTTTTTAGTTTTATGTTATGATAGTAGTTACTATCAATATCATGGTTGTAACGGGTAACGGGAAATCTGGGTTCGATTCCGGAGAGGGAGTCTGAGAAACGGCTACCACTCCAAGGAAAGCAGCAGGCGCGTAAATTACCCACTCTCGGAATATGGAGGTAGTGACGAAAAATGACGATACGGGAATCATCCTTTGTAATCGGAATAAATACACTCTATATCTCTAAATAAGAATAAAGCGTGTTAATATATACATTTTAATAGTAATTAGAATATATATATACATACAAGTAAAGCAACTTAAGTACATAAACGTATCATGCACTAGGTATACCCGTGTTTTTTGGGCGGGCGAGTCGGACTAACGTTATACCTGAGTATTAAAGGCGGTAGGAATATGTACGTAAGCCGTATGACACGCGGATGGTATTGGTTAGTCAAAATAAAAATTTGTTTATATATACATAATATTGATTATAATATTGATGACAAGCACGCGTGTACGGGTACGATAACTAAAAATAAATTTATACAGGAATAGTGTAGTCGTCGTGTTGTGAGAGAGGCGTGGGGTGGGGTGAATGCGTTATGACAGTCTAGTCTAGACGACGGAATATGCGATAACGCGTAGTTAAATTTAGTATGAAATTGATATTCAATAATTTAATATTGCAATTTATATGGAGAAATTATAAAAATAATAAAGTAATTGTATATTCCTTTATTTTTAACGTGTATAAAAATTTAATGAAATTGATGCAATACTTTTTAATAAAAAATTGTTATTACTTATGAATAAATACACTGGACTACAAGAAACTTTCGTCAGAAGCAAAAATATACTTTTCTAAATCAATTTTTCGTGCTATTTTCAAATCTGTAGATTTGCAGAAAAAATCTAATTGCATGCAATTAGACTTTTTTTATATCTTCTAATTTTTGATATTATTACTAATTACATATAAAATAATAATTAAAAGAAAAAAAATTTATTTTCAAATTATTACTCATTTTGATTTTTTTATGTTTAAAATAATCAGTCCAAAATTTCATTTTTTTTTGGTCCTTTAAAGTTGATGAAAAATGTTTGATAAAGTTTTGTGAAAGTTTATAGTAAAAAAAATAGAATATGTTGCCATAACTTTTAGCTCAATTAGAAGAGCTTAATAGAGAAGAGAAGAATCGGAAGCCGTAAAAACAGTTGTAAAAAAGAATGTTGAAGGAAGAAGAGGTAGAGGAAGACCAAAAAAGAGATGGAGAGATGTTATTGAATGCAATATGAGGACATCTGATGTGAGCGTAGAGTATGTGGGAGATCGTGTCAAGTGGAAATTTAGATAAAGGTGGCCGATCCCAAGTAGTTGGGATTAAGGCGAGGAAGAAGAAGAACTTTTAGCTCAATTGCAAGTTTGAAATTGACATCATTAAATAGAAAATTTTATAATTACTATTTACAGTAAATTTATCAGAAAATCTCATTATTTTTTGCAAATACCTTTGCATCGAAGCTAAAATATAGTAAAATAATTTTAATATGAATAAGAAATTTCTTCTCACGAGGGGTGACTACAGTGATGGGATCCTTGATCTTTATTGAAGTTATTGAATCTAAATGAGACGAAAATCAAATGAGTATAAATTTATTGTAACTTAAAAAGAATTAAGAAAAAAATGCAAAAAATCTCCTTGCCATAAACGGGTTGGAATCTTTTACCCCAAGCGCATAAAACTCAAGAGTTAATGACTCGGCAACCGTACATCGCTTCTGTCATTTGGAAAAAATGGTAATTTATGCTAGTTCGAATTTCAAACTTATACTTCTCGACTTAAAAAAATAAAAAAAAATTAAATAAGTTTAGCTTTTTATACTATATCAATTTGATTTATATAATATTCATGAAAATTAGTGTACTCCCCTTGTCAGGTATTTTAAAATAAAATAAAATACAAAACCCAGAATTTTAACACAAAAATAGCATATTTTTTAATACGGTAGTCAATTTCACTATGAAGATAAATGCAGAGGTCGAATTTTTTTTTTAAATTAAAGTTAAAAATATAAAAAAGAATTTTTTTACAAAAATCATATTTTTTTTTATTAACTTTGATGTCCATTTTCACAATGAAAACAAAATAAAGTCCGAAAATTTTTTTTTCCATTATAAAATATATTACATTTTCTTTAATTTAAGGTATATATAAAAGTGTCAGAGTTTTCGGAACACTTTCAAAAGTTAAGTTGAAAAAGTTGTCATTTTGAATACCCCCTGTGGGCAGGTAAAGGGTCAGATTTATAAAAAAATCTACCAAATAAAAGGACATCATGTATCTATAAAAAAATATATATATTGATTTAGTTATTTTTAAAAAAGTTATAGCAGTGTTAAGTAAAAAAAATTGAAAAAAATGTCAAAAATTAGCGATTTTTAAATTCATAATTTTTATTTTTATATTTTCCTTATTTATGAGAAACGAGGGAAATTATTTCAATTTTTGAGGGTAGTGCCTTCGACTAGGTACGATTTTTGATCTTTTGACGTATTGTTCATTACTGAGATTGAGCGTTTACAGACACAAAAAAAAAAAACAATATAATAAAATGAATACTTTCTCAGCTTCGCATCGAAGCTAATACCCTAGTAGAAATTCGAGTTCATTTAATATAGTAACAACGGTGTTGAACTCAATTCAAAACCGTTCATAGCACGATTCAAAATGAGATTTGAATACGGATTTTAACATGGGGCGAACTGAGTTCTTCAAAAGTTCATAGACCGTTTCTCGGTTCAGCATTAAAAAGTTCGATAACAGTTCAATTGTCGTTCATTGGTTCAATAACAGCTTTGTCGACAAAATTCACTTCACACCCCCCTAAAATTTACTACTAGGATCGCTCCTATATACAGGTTGTAGCATCATCTTCATCTTTTTTTATCCAGTGTTGAGAAGGAACTAGTTCCAAAAGGAACGGATTCCTGGAACGAGTTCTTTTTGAAGTAACGATGCTAGGAACTGCTTCCTTTTAAAATAAAGGAACGAGGAAAATGAACAAATTCCATTTTTTAAGGAACGTGAATGGAAATTACAGTTCCTAAAAATTTTTATAAACATGTTTAAGTGTAGTTTTCTTCGTATCTAGACATTAAAATATTAAGGTATTTTTAGTTGACTTTTGACAATGGAAGTCCCCTATATACCCAACCGAGATCGTAGGATGTTTAAATGAATCAATTGACTATAAATAGAGTTATTATCACATGTAGGTATACAGTAAATATTTAATATATGTTTACCAGTAGAGAAAAATACAACTTCAAGTTCTCGTATTGAAGAGTTAGAATTATTCTTAAAATGCCAGTCGAAAGACTTGACTGTGTTACTATTGTACCCTGCAATATTAAAAGTATTTTTAGAATTTAACACACCCCTTCCATCTAGTGCTCCTGTTGAGCGACTGTTTTCGACAGGTTTCAATGTGATGACACAAAAACGCCATAAATTGAGTGATTCACTTTTTGAAAAATTAGTTCTATTAAAATAAAACAAATTTGGTATATAAAATGAAAATTTTGTTTTGTTTTAATAGAACTAATAATTCTCAAATTTGTAATTAATGTGTGTGTTAAATACTAAAAATACTTTTAATATAATACTATTAAATAGTAAAACTGTAAATAAGTAGTTGTAAATAGTGTAAATAGTTGTTAACTGTACAAATTTTTTACAGTTGACAGCTATAAGTCTAATAATAAGAAATATGCATTATTACAATGTTATAATATTTAAAACTACATCTGTAAAGTGTAGCATTTTAATTATTATAGTAGTTATTTATATTCTGATTTAAAAGATCAGTAGTACAGTTATACATTTTTATTACAGAATGATGTAATTGTTTTTGTGTAGTTACTAGTTATAAAACATTATTAAACATATTTATTTATGCCTTTTGATTTAAATATGCCATATAATCTAAAAATTCATAATAAAAATAAAAACAATTTTTTAAATAACTTGGTTACATAAAAGGAACGAAGAGTGGAACGAGTTCTTATTTTGGAGGAACTGGATCTGGAACAAGTTCCTTCTTAATATAAAGAACTAGGATCTGGAACGAGTTCATATTTTAGAAAATGAACGGGGAACGGAACGAGTTCCATTTAAAAAGGAACTTTCCTAACACTGTTTTTATCCAATGATTTTTTAACTGCTATTTAGAAAAGAATAAAAATACTAGTTGTACTATGATATAACCAGTATTTTTACACTGCAATAAAAAGAAGTAAGTCTGTTTGGGATTTACACCAACAATATTCATATTGTTTGAAACATTATGGCTTATTCAATGACAGCATTTTAACCAACATAGCGTGATCTGTACACACGACACCCCAAAATCATTCAAATAAATTTTTCTATGAAAAATGTATTATAAATATAAAAGTTATTTTTTCTTTGTAGTTTCAAAATTAGTTTTCCAGACTTAGTTCGATTTACTAACGTGGTATCAATATATCAACATATTCAATTTGCATTTTTATTACAGATTAATGTTCATACCATGAAGTACTTTAAAAATGTGAAACTTATTAAAAGCTTGTTTAGTGTTGCCACAAAAACTAAAATTTGCGGGCATTTCTCTTGTCATACAAAAATCAAATACTGTTCTCGTATATGCACTAAAACTTTTAATAATAGCCACTTTAAGCAACAAACAATTTTTCTGAAAAGAAAATATCAGTTATTCATCTATTCCAATAAATTAAATCATATATATATATATATATATTCATAAAAATAATAATATTATTATATTATTTTTATGAATATACAATGTTACAATTATAGTTTTATCATTATTTAAGTAGTTAGTATTTTACCAGTATTAATATAGACTCTAGTAATTGTATTCCAAATAATATAAATAAGAGGTAAATAAGAATACTTCAATAGAACGACCTTTCAAGTTAAATAAAACATGCTCCCAAAGAATAATTTTATTTAAAATAATATACCTATTAAAAATAATAATAAATTATAAAAAATAATTAACAACTATGCTTTGAGTATAAAATTTTTTATAATTTACTATTATATAATAGTGAATATACTATATTTATAATTTTTTATTATTTTACATAAAAATATTTTAATACAAAAGATTATAAAGTTTTAATTAATTTAAAGTCATAAAAGTCAATAGATATTTATTCAGATTTCTGGAGAAAAAAAAATATAGGGAGTTCAAATATTTTTGTGTAAATGATAAATTATTATTAGTTATTGCACTTCCAATTAATATGAACTTAATGTTCAAAAATGTTTATTGAGTTATATCAATTTACTATTAAGTGCCAACACATAAAGTTCATTTAATAAACTATATAGAAATTAACCTTTTAGTGTTACAATATTCAAATGTTTGATCAAGTACATGACTATGCTTTGAAAAATATTTATAATACTTCTTTAAAAGACATATTTTTTAAATATTGGAAGTTAAAAAAACATGATTCCATCAACAATTAAATACAATTTTATATGTGTAGCACATAAAATTTTAGGTATATACGTGCTATTTTTATATACAGCAATTATACAATTAACAATTGTGGTAAGACAAAAATAAAGAATAAAAATGTGTTGAACGTGTGAATACTGGTAGACATAGTATACGCGGCTGACTATCAAGGGTTTCGAAAAGACGTTGTTATAGAAAGTGCCACTGAGAAACACCAAGGTATAAAGTGTCATAATTTTTTGGATGAAGGCATAAATGCCTGATGCAATTTAAAGGAGCCCAAAGTATGAGGCGCATACGAAGTGCAAGACACAAGTACTTGAGTTAAACAGGTAAGATAGCCAAATATAAAGTGTAGACAAATACAAGACATAAATATTATGCGAACTAGGAAAAGGATATAACCAAGTACAAGGTAAAAACGAAACGCAAGACACAATTATTAAAGCGTTAAGTAGGATAGGTAGGTAAAGGAGTCAAGAATAAACAAACTCTTGACTTTCTGTTGTAGTCGGACAACGACAACCGAGTACTGAGACTAATGTTTGACAATATATCCTGTGTTGAATATTATTAAAGTAGTCTGACGCCGATGGCCGAGTCCATTATTGATTCTATGGTTGCATTATTTTATTTATCAGTCAAATTACCAGTTGCCAGCAGTGGATACTCTGTCTGCATTTATTTTATACATTTTACAATAACAATGCTGTGACACTAACACACAATTATTGGTTAAAAGTTTTGCATTTTCTTGAAATTATTGTATAAAAAAAAAAATAAATATAAACTTTAGTTATGTCTGAATAATTTTGGAAGGTTCTTATCGTTGTCTCATGTTACTGCCGGTAGATATTGTTGGATCCGCCATTGATTATTCAGCATTAATATAAAAATTGTACCCAAATTACAAAAAGTTTATGCCAATGAAAGTAACTATACCCCTAATTTCCCTCCCATTTGATCGTCACTGACATTTCGTCGCTTACACATAACACTTTCTGATGCAGAAATGGTAAATTAAAAAATAGTTGGCTTATCTAATTATTTTATGCTATATTGATGTTAAATAAATAAATATCAATGGATATTATAAATTTAAATAGTAAACACATAATATTTAAATCATAAAAACTAATTTTAAGAATGGAAGTGAGTTTAAATTTTATTTTCTGTATTTTAATTAACATATTTATTATTATTAGTCATATAATAAATGAGTTTTTAAACTTACTATTTTAATTTATGTATTATGTATTTTAGTATACAGCAAAAGTTCGACGAGATCTTTGGAAAATCTGCTCTAAAATTCGGAACGTAGTGAATAAAATAAAATTTAATTTTTTGGAGTATTATTTAATTTACGACACAAAAAAAATTGGTTTTATAACAAGTGATCAAATAATAAAATGAACTTATTCAGTTTTCTAGTTTCAAATATTTTATTTCAGTAAATCAATTCAAAACAGTATTATCTGGACCTTTAAAAACTATAATCGATTTAAGTGATGATGAAATTGAACTTTTAGTTCAGTGTTTTTGTGAACCAAATGGCAATTTACGTTATGTTGAATTCTCTCAAATGGTTCATGAATCATTACCTACCTATAACAGTAATCCATTCATTTTTAAAAAAAATCTTACTACCTCTTTCCATAGCACTACTACTATTTTAGTTGCAATTCCAGTTGATAACTATAATTACTTCATATATAATCGTCAATATTAATTTCTAATAATTATTATTTTTACTTAATTATTAAATTTACTTCTAAATAACAGATTTTAAATAGTTCTATTGATCAGTTCTCATTTACTAAATTTGTGAATTATATTTCTAACATTTTTATAAAATTTATCTTTTGATTATTCTAGACAAAGACAATTTCAGTGAAAAATTGTCAAATTATACTAAAAGTGATTTACAATTTCTTAATTCTATGATGAAGATGACCAATGACTTAAAGTCACAAAATCTGAATCTGAAACCTTATTTTGAAGATTACGAAAAAGTATAAAGATATAGAAAAATGACTGATACATAATTAAATAAATTGTTTTGGAAAAAATGTTTGTTTAAAAATAAAAATATAGTTTAATTTAGGTGTCAGGTAATAAGGGTTTGATGACTATTAAACAGTTTATGGATATACTGTATAGCTTGAACATAAAGTTATCTCAACATGAATTACAGCCAATTATTAATCAGTTCATTATTTACAGTTATATGATTAACACAAATAAGTTTTTGGATAAATTAAATTGGATTTATAATCAAAGTAATAATTTAAAGGAAACTATTTTGAATGTAAGTAATCAAATTTTAATAAAAAATTTTTTCTAAAATATAAAAATACTCTTTTACTATTATTACTTTTTTTGTAGAATACCTAATATTTAAACTTTTATTACATTTATTTATAAGATATTATCTAAAAAATTACTTAAGAGTTATTTTTTATATAATATTTAATACAATATACATATAATATAGTTGTAACACTTAAATTATTTTATTACCTTAACTTACTGATATATAATAATACTGATATATTATTTAAATGTGTACTTCAAATACATGCAAAAATATTCTACCTTCTCAGGTATAAAAATAGTTTTAGATTTAAAAAAATAAAACCTATAACATATAACCAAAAATAAAAAACAAAAATTGTCATGATTAGACTTCATAAAACAGAAGTTTTTTTTTTAGATAATAAATTACCTAAAAAGGTAGAGTAATAATTAAAAGATACTTATCATCATAAAATTAGAAATTAAATTATAAGAAAATTGGTAAACTTTACATAGATATCATCTATTCAGATAAATGTACAATATGTGATAAATGAAGTTATTATTGAAGATTAATAAAAAAAAGTTAAAGTCAGTCAATCTTCATTTTGATAATATGGTTAGGAAGAGGAATTCATTGTAGACATTATTAGTCAATATTATCTATTTGGCCACTTCCAATTTTCTGATGGTTTTAATAAATGGGGGATTTCTTTTAGACAATTTTTTGCCCACTCTGGTAAAAGATGTCTATCTTTTTGGTCGTATATCATTGTTATACCTTGAACTGTTTCACATTTAACCTTCCCTGTATTTGTGTCAAGAGTGACTTGAGATCCATCACCATAAGTTATACAAACTTCACCTGATTTAACTAAAAATGAACTTTTTACTTGTTCATTATTAGGAGTTATATTTAAATTATTTTTTGTGTTTGGTCTTCTTCCTAATGTTACAGGAAAAATTGTTATACCATTAGAACTTGTATCAATGGCTGCTAACGTTTTCTCAACTAAACAACAATGTTCATAATATTGTTTAAATTGGTTATAAATCATATTTTCAATTTCATTCAAGTACTCAGGCGTACTGAATGATTTTGTTTTTCCATCAACTATAATTTTAGTAATGCCACTTCCAATATTTGATACTAAAGTTCCATTATAAAAATGTGCCTCGAAAGCTTTACCATCTTCCATCAATAAACATTTTGCTTTATCACTGTATAAAACAACTTTGGCTGTTTTGGAAGCTATTAAATTAACAAATTGGGCTGCATAAGCATATTTTTTCCAATGTTGTTGAGGTAAAGACTCATAACTGTACACTTCATCAGCACCTTTTTGTGGAATTGAAGGTGGTTCATCTTGTAATTTTACCCCTCTTTCTCCATTAGGCTTATAAACTACCATATGTTGTCCATCAGGTGAAATACGAATAACTTCAACAACTCGTTCTTCTTTTGATTTAGATTTTATTTTAACAAATTCTACACATACTTCTCCATTTTCTAAAATACTTAAGACTTTATTCTTTGTTTTATGTCTATGTTTTTGTAAACGTGCTGTTGTAAAACAACTAGCCATTTTGTTAGATGAGCTTGTATCAGGAAATGTTTTGAAAGATTGTAAAAATTGATTGTCAAAAACAGACATTTTTTTATTATCAGAATGTTGAGATGAAATAGGACATCTATTTTGTACATTATTATTATGGTTACTGAAACTATGCATTATACTTGATGAATGACAGCATTCTTGTTTATTTAGTTCAGAACTTAAAATATAACCCCGACATGGTGGTAACACATTTAAATTTGAACTACCACAACTTCTTTGGTAATTTTGTTCATAGTTAGGATTTAAAAATGGCTGTGGATAGTTAAAACCTGTGGATGAACCACATAATTTATCTTTATTAAATGAAATTGTATTAAAGCCACTATCTTCAGTGAAATGAGACTGCTGAACCCATATAGAATTTCCATCATTTAAAATTTTTTCTTTCATAAAGTCATGGTTTAATACACCTTGTAAATCTATACGATCTCTTGGATTTTTTCTTAATAAACAGTTAATTAGATCTTTAGCTTTACTTGATAAATAATTAGGTAATGAAAAATTACTCATAACAACTTTGGTTAACGTACTTTTAATAGCATCAGTATCGAATGGTGGATGACCCACTAGTAAAGTATATAATAAACATCCTAATCCCCATAAATCAGTTTCTAAGCCGTGAGAACTTCGAGTTGCAACTTCTGGTGATATGTAATTTGGAGTACCACACATTGTCATGTGTTTTTCATCTCTAGAATTTAACTGAGTAGCAAGACCAAAATCAGCAATTTTAATACGCATGTCTTTTGTCAATAACAAATTTGTTAAGGTCATATCTCTATGTACAATGTTATGTTTATGCAAGTACAATAAACCTTCAACAACTTGTCTTAATATATATCTAGCTTCTATCTCTGATAATTTATTTCCATTTAGTTTTAAATATTGAAGCAATTCACCGTTATGACACAATTCTAAAACTAAATAAACATGTTGGCAATCTTCAAAAAATGTATACAATTCTAAAATTGATGGATGCTTTAATTGACTATGTATTTTAACTTCTTGTCTAACACGTTCTATCATGTTTTGCTTTTTCATCATCCAAATATCAATTTCTTTAATAGCTACTTCACGTCCAGTTTGACGACACTGTGCTCTATATACACATGCAAATCCACCTTTACCCAAAAGTTCTAGTTTTTGATAACCATCTATACTATCAGAAAGTGTAGATTTGTAAGAAAACATCTGCAAGTAAAGTAAAGTACTTAATTAATATTATATTATGAGCTTAAATATATATTTTTGATTAGCATTTTTATGAAAATATTATAGCTCAATAATTACATAGGAGAATTAGATGATATAGTATTAATTAGCGTTATGAATTACAGAAATAATTAGTGTTTATTAGTATAACAAAAGTAAAGGATGTACAATAAATTATAAAATATAAAAAGGTAGTTAAATAATGCAACCAGCACTCAATATAAAAGAAATAATGACAGTAATCGCGAGAATAGACTGAGAATATAGTACAACACAAGATACAAAATTTGGAAATTTCATTGAATTCTAAAAATTTTATAAGCAGGCACCTACTAGATGCCAAGGAGGGGTAATTCAATATAGTGGTGGAAGTCTCATTGATTATATTTACTCACCTATATTTGAATACAAAATAAAAATAATTAGATTATGAAATGAAATGTAAATTTGTTAAAAATTTTCTTTATTAAAGACATAAGATAAATTATTTATGTTGAATAATATAACAGGAAATTTTTCTTTATCTAATAGGATACTTCTAAAGGAAAAATCAATAAAAATGAAATGAAAAATAAAACAAAATTAAAAAATAATGAAAATGTTTTCCATTCAGTAATCACTAATAAAAGACATAAGGATAATGTTGTATCAATTTTAAGAAATGTTCAAAAACATGTACTTCAAAATAGAATTAATGTTGGACAGTTTTTTACAGTATTTAGATATTATTTTGTGTGTAATTGATATTATTATACTGTTATGTTTGATTTTTTAAAGCAATTTGACCCATATAATAAGGGAGTTATAAGTAAAGAACAATTTCGAAAATGTCTTGACATGATTGGTATTAGTTCATTACATCGTTTGTACTACTCAGAGTCAGAGCTTTCTTTATTAATATTAATGTTTAAAGATAACAATCTAACAGAAAATGTTAGATGGAAAAAATTTGAGGATGAAATAAATACAGGTAAATAAACTTTAACTATACCTTAATTAAAAAAAAACACTTATAAATCAATAATTTTTCTTTTACTTAGATGTACTTAACACTAAATCAGTTGTTAATTTTAAATTCTGTTTTATTCATTTGTATTGAGTTGTCTCATCTTGATTTTTTTAGTATAAAGTATTAACTAAAATAAGTATAGTTAAATAACAATCGACTTATTTAACTGATTCATACTTAATACGATCATATTCGAATAGAGAATAAAACTTGTAACACTGAATTTTTTTGAAAAAAATATTATTCTAGATATTTTAAATTCATAACAGTTAATATTTTTGTTTACTTTTTGACATTATATGAATTCAAATGATAACGGCTTTATTGTTATCAGTGTTGGAATTAATTAAGAGCACAAAAAAATCTTTCAACAATAAACTACCTCCCATGGATGCCAACTTAATTAATTAAACTATTATTTTATTGAACACAAATTAAGACTAAAGCCTACACATAAATACATTTTATTGAAATTTAATGGGAATGTTCTCGTTAAATCTATTTATTTTACAATCAAGAACGACCATAAGATAACTTTTTATTTTATACTCCTAAACATTTCAATTAAATTGTTGAAAACCTGTTATTTTTTTCAAAAATGTATTTACTCTTATTTATTTCCACTTAAAGTTATTATTTCTTTTTATAAATTCTTGTAAAATTTAATTAAATTAACGTAGTACCTACCTTTTAAATTTTAATTGTAGTTTTTGTCAAAAAAAATCTGGAAAAAACTCCAGAAAGTGACATTGAGTGTCCACCTAGAGATGTCAAAGATATGCCTCGGAAAGGAGGACAAGATTGGGAATCCGTTGAATTACATATGCGAAATTTATTTGATCCATTGATTTTTAACATAAAAAATTATTTACTCCAAAGGCGAATTCTACTAGAACCTTATTTTAGAACTTTTGACAGGTAACAAATAGATTTTTACTCTTATTTGTTTTATTGATCTTATTAAGATAATATTCTGACTGAGTAATAGATCATATTTTATTTGAAATGGTAATTTATTTTATAACAATTCTTCACTTAGGAAAAAAGCTATCCGCTCAACAGACTTAGTGTTGAAGGGATGAGGGGTTGATCGTGATCCTCGACAAAGGAACCGTGCCTTTTTGAAGTTCTCTCCATAAGCTAAACAAGAAGGCCTCTAAATTAACGAATTAGCATCCTAAAAAATAAAAAAAATTATACAGGGTGTTCAGTAAGTCAGGAAACAGGTTTCTATTGTTCTCATTGTTTGTAACAATGAGAACAATAGAAACCCGTTTCCTGACTTACTGAACACTCTGTATATGTTGTCATTAGCATGTATAGTTTTTTTAGAGTAAGGAGAAAATACAGTTAGCATCTCCGAAAACGTTATTCGAACAAGCGCCCATGGGTCTTGCAGAATAATAGAGTTTTTAGTTGTTTTTTGTGTTATTTAAAAAAAAATGTGTCAATAAATTTAATAAAAATAAATCAAATATACATGTAATTAATCTATAAAAAAACTATTCTTTTAATCTTGGTGTTCTTAATATAATTAGACAAAAATTTTATTTTCTAATCTTTTATTAAAAAAAGATTCAACTTGCAAATTATTATAATACTCAAATTTATAAAAATTGACTAAGCAAAATGTCAAGGAGAGCTACAAATTCTTTTGACGTTCCTGCAGATGCCAATGTTACATAACATGTTGATGCCTATAGACACAAGTAGTATTATATGTTTGGGCGCTAAATTAATTTCCATTTCTTCAAAATGTTTTTAGTATATAATATATTTATATATAAATTATATTTTTCAAAATTTGTGAGGGTACTAAGGATTTAAATCATTATTTTATTTGAGACTAGTAACATCAGTTATAAATTTAATATTAAATCCTTTTTTTTAATTTAGATATAAATAAAATCTCGATTTTAATATTTGAATAGTTTAACATAATTAATTTCGTCTAGAAATAATCACGGGCATATAACTCGATCTTGTTTTCGTCGAGCTATGTCTACAGCAGGCGTAAAATGTTCAGACGAAGAATTGCGTGTATTAGAAAAAAGATTTATGAATGTTGATGGGTTCAATTATTTGAAATTTTTAGAGAATATTGTTAATCCTTATGAAGATAGTAAATCAATTGTAAGTTCATATTTTTAGTTTAAATTACTAGGACGCTCAGTAGAGCCTCTAACTACTAAGCTGAAGGCCTGTATGAGGATTATATATTTACCCTTTTTCCTCGCCATAATTTAAAAATAATAGTCATTTCTAATGGATGTAGGTTTGTGTGCCTTGCTCATTCTGTAGACCCTTTTTTTTATTTATCATTATTTATATATTATTTAATGATAATATAATTTATTAACGATCATTATTAGGAAATTAGTTAGTGTTATAAAAAACATCTTAAATTAATATAAATGTTTAGAGAATTCCGGAAATATAAAATGAGAGCCTTGAATTTCCTCTAACTGCAACATTTTAACTTAAAAATATTAATATTTTTAACTATTTCTATTTTAAGTCTATTCAAATAAATTGGATAGCACTGGTAAAATCATTACTTTAAAACAGCGTATCTTAAGAGAAGGGTAAAATAGTTTTTAAGTTAGATGATAAATTATTAGCCTTAGTTTAGAAAAAAATGTACAATTAAAATAAAATTTTAATTTTTTTGGTTGACACATAATAGTTCTATTATTCTTTTCTCTCTAGATCATTTTTTTTTTTGTAAGCTAAAATTTAATAAATAAATAATTGTAGAATCATAATTCTGGACTCAAAAAATGTTAATTTTTTTTCAGATACATAAACCAAAAATAAAAATAGAAACTGATGATTTGTTAAATATAGAAAAAATATGCGATAATCTAAAAAACATCTCACTTTCTTCACTTATATCTAAAATACAAACTATAGTTATGAAACTAGTATCATTTTGTTTTTAATTTATTTTATATAAAATTTATATTTACAATAATAGGTTAAAAGAGGTAGGATCAAAATTGACCAGTTTTTTAGAGTATTTGATCAATATAATCACAGTCTTATAAGTAATGAAAATTTTCAAAGAGGCATTGCAATAGCTGGAATACAGCTTAACTTACAAGAGTTGGATTTGCTTGAAAAAAAGTACGACGAAATTTTGTAATTTGTAATTATTGTACATCGATGTCGCCACTTTATAAGTGACCAAGTGATTGAATTTTTTCAATACTTTAAAAAGTCCAGAAAACATTGAAAAATGAATAAACAAATTTGTACTTCAATGTTATTAAATGTTTAAATCATGTGAAAATAAATTGTTTATAAATTATACAGTTTTTCAACTTGTAATTTTTGTCAAAATACATTTTTTTAATTATTATTTGATCACTTTTTATATAATGGCGACTATATGATAATTTATGAACAAACAAATTTTATAACACAAAAAAAAAATATTAATAATATCGTAAAAGAACTATTCCTCTACCTAATGTTCATCACACAATTCTTGATATTAATATATACGAGTATGGAATATGTATAAAATTAATAATAAAAGTTTAATATTTAATGTTATTTACTTTTTGATAAAAAATTAATTTATAAAAATGTATATATATATATAATATTTATTTAATTCACTCAATATATAGATTAAGTGAATCCAATCAGTATTAAACTAATTATTGATATGATAGGTTTTCATCTAAAAATTACCCTGGCTACATTAAATACCGACAATTTTGCAACATTATCGAAGAGGCATTTACTACATTAAGATTGGATAAGAACCCGACAGTTTCACCCAAAGAATATTTGATAACTTACGAAGGATTGTGTAATAATTTAACAGATGAACAGAGAGCCGCTATTGATTCAGCATTGTCTAAACTTTGTAGTAAACCAAATATTGGGTTAGATGATTTATTTAAGGACTATGATAAGTTCAAACAAGGAATTGTACCACAAGAAACTTTTATGAGGGTAATAACTGTGTGCAAGCTCAACATGTTGATTTCATCATTTGAAATTAAATGCCTAATTAACGGGTTTTCAAAGTGTGGTTATCACCAAGCATTTGATTACCGTTCATTTCTTAAGGCTATTGAATACAAAGAAAAAGTTTTGGCCGAGTCGATCAAGAAAAATAGTTAGATATAAATTTTATTCTAGCGATGTATATGAATTAATAAAATTATTTTGGTAATATGTTTTATTAAAATTATAATTTCATGTTTTTAACAAAATTGTTTAAGTTATGATCAGTTCAATTTGAAGTTTTTAAATTTCATTCAATGCGCCTCTTAAAATTTTTCTGTTGTACAAACTGTATAAAAAATAATTTGTAACAAATTCAGGCGAAATTAAGTAACGTTAACACTTGCCATAAAATACACTTAAAATTAATATATTTTGGAATTTGTTGTTAGAAAAATTTAAAAACAGGACAAATACACGTTATAATCATAACGCTTACAATATGATTTAGGTTTTATCTCTTTTAAAAGGGATCCAGATTTTTAGAATGTTTTCACAGAAGAAAATACTATATGGCATGATCTATAGCTATATTCAAACTTTAATTTACATATAAGTTCATCTTGAATTACCGGCCCTTTCATAAGCATTTGATTTAAGCTTGTTCCTGAAGTGGACGGTGCAGATGCGTCGAATACAACACGGGTTTGTGTTGTTGCACTGTGATTGCGTAAAACAGCATGGTGTGGCATATAGTATGATATTTCGTTTATTGATTGCGATTCTTTCATATGATTCAATTTTATGTATTCATCCATAAATTCAACGTACTTTACACGAAGATCATTATTTTTTCGTAAATTATTTTCTGTAGCTAGAAAACGTCGCCGCGCCATTGCCTTTGAATCACCAAGTATTTCAACGTTGTTTTTCAGTAGGAGTTCAACAATAAATTTTCCCGTATGTTCACGTTTTACTGTTTGTTCAAAATGCTCGACACAAGACCTTTCTTCAATGCTGAGTTTTATGTTTGAACCCATTTCTTCTACTTGCCAAAATTTTGACATCAATTCATTTAAATTTACTTGGTTATCAATTACAATCGAATTGAAAAATGTTTTTGTAGTTGTTTGTGCTAAACTGGACACAGATCCTGCAACTATCCAGCCTAGTTCTGTTTCTTGGAAAATTATTTCAGTCGCATCTACCTTATGTTTACCGGCCTTTAGTATACTATAGAAACATTCAGCACCGAATAGTACATCTATTTTGCCAGGTACGTCGTAATGTGGGTCAGCTAATTTAACGTCATTAGGTATTTTTATACCAGTTGTGTTTATTGTTTCGTGTGGTAAAAATGAAGTTATTTTTGATAACGTTAAAAAATCGAGTTGTCTACTGTAATTACTATTTTGTGACTGAATTAATGTTGTTATAGAGTAAAATGATTTACCTTTAGAATTATCTACACCAGATATACTAATATTTACTCTTTTTCGTGGCGATTTTAATCTTTGCGCTAACTCAGTGGTTATAAAATTAGTTTGAGAGCCTGAATCGAGCAGTGCTCTTACAATGAATGTTTCATTAAAATGGCTTTTAATTTTTATTATTGCTGTTGATAACAAAACTTGTTTTTGTTCTGCACACGTCACATGTGTACTTATGATTTGTTCATCACTTTGCTCTTCGGGTATGTGAAGTAATGTATTATGTGCTTCTCCACATTTCCTACAGCCTGAAAATTTACATAATTGGTTTTCTGAATGATGAGCCAAACATACATTACAAATGCTTAATTGAGTAACCTTTTGATGACGCTCTTTTATTGTTAGGTCTAAGAATTTTTTGCAATGATATATAGCATGAGTTGTTTCATTGCATAAATAACATTTAAATTTTTTTGAAGTCGCATGCAATACGGTCCTTTTTTGATAATCAAATCGTTTCTTTTCCTTTTTTTGATTGTCACCGCATTCATTTAACCTTTTTGCACTTTCAACCGCTTCTAATAGTTGACAGTGATTATTTAAAAATTCAATTATGTCTTTGACTTCTGAGACTTCAGTTTTTGGTGCTTGCTTTTCCCACGCTCGCAATGTGTTTGTGTCAAGTTTTGTTGATATGACGTGAATCATCAGAGGACCCCATAAATTAGCATCGTGGCCTAAATTTTCTAGTGCTTTCATGTTGCCGACTAAATCGTCAGTAAACATTCGCAGATTGTCCGCTGATTCCNATCTTATAATTTTTTGCTGATGTTTCGAAGCATTGTATTACCTTCAATGCGTCGCCCGACAAAGCTGCTTTTAGATAAAAAAACCTTTGTACATCAGTTAATGCTTCGTTCTCGTGAATTAACGCATTAAATATATCATTGAATGTTGACCATTCTTTATAGCTGCCGCTAAATGTAGGTACACTTAATGGCGCTAATTTTACAATTGATGGTTGATTAGATACACAACTGTTTGTTAGTGTTGACGTCATTATGGGTGGTTATGATGTGTTTCGAATATCTACCGTGTGATTTATTTCTTCTATTTCTGCTTGATCACTAGCCAATATTCGTTCATACTCTGATACTACCTTAAAGTACATTTCTTCAAATTGAATTCTGTATGGATCTTCTGGGCTTTCTGGATCTCTGAGTTCTTCAATTTCAGCCTGAATTTAATTAGAATGTTTTTACGGAAGAAAATACTATATGACATGATCTATAGCTATATTCAAACTTTAATTTTATTTATGTCACTAATAAGATTTTCAAAAAAACATAATTGTTGATGAAGCGGGATTATTAATCGTTAATAAATCGAACGCTCACTTAAATTTATTTGTATGATATTTTTTAATTTGTTTGATTAATGTAATAAATATGAAACTTAACAAACTATAAATATAATTTACAAAATATTTGCTCCGTAATTTTATTTATAATTAACTTAAATGACAATATTTAATACAAGTATGACTTAGATTAATATTAGAGCGCGTCGCTGATGGTTCAGCGGTGGAACGTACACTGACTAGATTTATAATAAAAGATACATTGCTGACCAGCTAAACAAAGATAAAATACAATATTATAGTGTGATTCGCACTAACAATAATAAAAACGTAGCTCAGTGGGGTTGTGGCACAGTATGGACGTGGCATAGTTGGGACAAGAATATTTGACATCTGATAGTGTTTTAAATCACTGCGTCAGGAAATTTTATAATTACTATTTACAGTAAATTTATCAGAAAAACTCATTATTTATTTGCATTTTTATCGTAATAGAACACTTTAATAGAAATAATAATAATAATTTCTAAGTAACTTTTGATATTTAAAAAGATTCTATCATCTTCATCTTCTTCTTCTTCCTTGCCTTAATCCCAACTACTTGGGGTCGGCTACTCTTATCTTAGACTTCCACTTGACACGATCTCCCATATCATCTAAGCTCACATCTTCGCATTCAATAACATCAATAGAAATATCCAGAACTGAATTAATTTTAATTAATTATTTTAACTAAAAAAAAAAGTTGTCATTTTGTATCCCCCCTATAGGCAGGTAAAGGGTCAGATTTATAAAAAAAATATACCAAAGGATAGGTAAAGACAACATGCATCTATATAAAAATAGAATTTTATTTATTTGGTCATTTTTGTTAATGTTATAGCAGTAAACAAAGTTATAAGTTTTATACACAGGACTTTGACAATTTTTGAGGGTAATATCTTCAAGAAGATACGAATCATTTGACGTATCGTTAAAAAAAGTAGGTCAAGTTAGAGCAAAAAAAATAAATGATAGTCACAAAAAATACCTTCTCACTTTTGCTAAAACCTAAAATATAGTAAATAATTTTAATATGAATAAGAAATTTCTTCTCACGAGGGGTGACTACAGTGATGGGATCCTTGATCTTTATTGAAGTTATTGAATCTAAATGAGATGAAAATCAAATGAGTATAAATTTATTGTAACTTAAAAAGAACTAAGGAAAAAATGCAAAAAATCTCCTTGCCATAAACGGGTTGGAATCTTGTACCCCAAGCGCATAAAACTCAAGAGTTAATGACTCGGCAACCGTATATCGCTTCTGTCATTTGGAAAAAATGGTAATTTAAGCTAGTTCGAATTTCAAGATCACTTAAATAGAAATCATAGTATTCATTCCTAAGTAATTCTGGTGTTTAAAAAGATTCTATCATCTTTATCTTCTTCTTCTTCCTCGCCTTAATCCCAACTACTTGGGGTCGGCTACTCTTATCCTAAACTTCCACTTGACACAATCTCCCACATCATCTACGCTCACATCAGCTGTCCTCATATCGCATTCAATTTCATCCATCACTATAGAGAATAAGTAAGGGCTTAAAGCAGAATCTTGGTGCACTCCTACTCTTACCCGAAAACCTTCTGATACTCCTACTCTTTTTACCCTGGTACAAGAGTCATCATACATATCTTCTATTATATTAATGTATCTTTTGGAGACTCCTTTTCTCATTAATGCCCACTTTAAAATCTCTTTCGGTACTCTATCATACGCTTTCTCTAAATCTATAAATACCATACACAGCTTTTTCTTCTATTCCCTAAAATTTTCTATTAGTTAGTTGCCTCACACAAAATACTGGCTCCATTGTTGACTTACCAGGCATAAATCCAAACTGGTTTTTAGATAATGATGTCTCATTTCTTATTCTCTTATCTATTACATTTTCCCAAATTTTCATACTATGACTCATAAGCTTTATGTTTCTATAATTCTTATCTAAATCTATAATCTATAATTTATTATGTAGGGTATAACCTATATTAATTTCATGTTATATATGCATGAATTTTCAACAATTGCCCCCTTTTTTTTTTTTAGAAAATTTGATTAATAAAAAAAAATGTAGAGGAATATTTCTATTAAAGTAGAAAAATGGCATTATTAAATAAAATAAATCAGAGCTTACTAACTTGTTCCTATCATAATTTAAGCAACAGTGCAACATAAAAATGTATTAATTTCTGAACTACATTTTTTTTCTTAGCTCTTCTTAAATTGAAACATTCAAGAATTAGGTACATAATTCTATATACTCAAAGTATAAAAAAATTGAATTATTTCTTCCAAGGTCTTACATTATCAATATTTTTTTGTCATTATCATTATTTTGAACAAAAATAATAATGTATTTTGGCGCGCCTATCAGTATATTTTTCAATGTTTCTTTAATTTTTTAGTTCGTTGAAGTAGTAAATTTTTTACAATGGAACTACATTTTCTTATAATTTATAAAATAATACATCAAGTTAATTTTTAATGTATCTGTCGTGTTCTGTTACAATTTATTAAGGATAATTACGGTAAGTTTACTAAAAAATACACTTTTTTAATAATATTTTAAGGATATTGTACTATTGTATCAATATGAAACATTCTTAATATTTAAAGGTATTACAGATTTATGTTCAGGCAATAGAATATTTTACTTAAGTTGTCTCACATAAGTAATAAGTTCTTGTTTTAAAAAGCTGATGATTTTTTTAAACACAGGTAGATTTGTAATTTTTATTTTATTAAAATATTATACTTACCTGATATTAATCGAATATATAATTGTAGGTGTTGCAGCTTAAAGTTATACATTTCCTTAAATTGTGAACTCATATCTTCTAAAAAAAATTCATAGATATCCAAAATTTTTAATGATTATCTTAACTTAAAAAAAATTCTTAATTGATATAAATTTTAAAGTTGTTTTATATAAATATATCAATTTTTGTATAACTTCAGAGACTTCTGATGACTTGTCATCAGAACAATTTTATTTTTAAACTTCTATTATATAATATAAGTTTTAATTAAACATATGTTTGAAGCTTGGAGTATTTCTAAAACATTTTTAAAAGTTAAGTTGAAAAGATTATCATTTTATGTAAGAGTTGTCAATTTTAATCTTACTTGTAGGCAGGTAAACAATAAAAATATAACTAAGGTGTTTATAAAAAAAAAAATGTTTTGATTTATCCTATTTTTCAATAAAATATAATATTTTGTGATCTTAAGTAAAAATAACACGAATAATGGTGATTTTTACACAAAAATAGCATTTTTTGTCTCACTTCGGTGCCCATTTATTTAACAACACATAAAAGATAAAGTGTTGTTAAATTTTTTTAATTTATAATATGTATCATAATTTAATCAGCTTTAATTCAACATATGTTGAAAAGACACATTATTTCCAGAAAATTTTCAAAATTTGATAAGTCCTTTTTATACATATGTTTTAAGTTTTGAACCACTTGGTAAAAAGAGAAATGGTTCGAATTAAAAAAAAAAAATGTCTGTTTAATAGGTCATTTATATAAAACTTATAAAGTTGTATTAATACATACATTTTTTAATAGATTATAGCTAAAGTCCAGATTTATATTACTTAAAAACTACTAAAATATGCTTTTTATATTCCCTAAAATAATTGCTTTATTCTTTGAAAAATAAGAAAAATATTTTGTTTTTCCATCCAGGGTAAAATAATTTACTTGAATTATTTTTTAATTATAAAAAAAAACATTTATGAAAGAAATAGAATCATGTTAATGGTAAAATTATAAAAGAAAATTAAATAAATATTATTCATTATTTAAATTGAGGAAAAACAAAAATTTTTAATAAATAAATTTTTTTTTAATGCAATAGTTTGAACTTTTAATTTTCAGAACTTTTTGTTTGTTTGTTCTTTGTAGATATTTGTTATAATTTTATTTATTATTATTATTTATAATTTATTATTAATATTTATGTTCAAAATTTTCTTTTTGTAAATAAAATTTTAATTGTTTTAATCTAGTTTAAATATATATAAATAAACTTAAATTAATTCATATTTTTAGACAAAAAAAATGGCCTGTCAAGTTGAAGAAAAAAAGTGGACTAAGAAAAAAGAAAAAGCAGTAGCTGAAGGGAATTTTGATAATCTTTATTATTGTTGTAAAGAGTTGGCAGATTTATATGTAGAAAAAGAGGATTATGAATCAGCATTAACTGAATATGAGCAATGTGAAGATGCAGCTCGTAGCTGTGGTGATGATATTCGTTTAGCAGTTGCCAATAGAATGATTGGTGAAATGTATTGTTACTTAAATGATTTTAATAGTGCTATAAAACATCAACAAATTCATTTAAAAATATCCCAAACAAAAAACGATATAGTTGAACAGCAAAGAGCTTTAGCTACATTAGGGCGTACACATTACTTACTTTCAGAAATGTGTGATAATAATAATGAAGATGATAAAAAAAGTAGGGCATTAAATAAATCTGTTATGTATTATCTGAAAAGCTTAGAAGTTTGTAGCAAACTCAGTAAAGAAGTTGGGACTAAAACTTTATCAGAAATGAAGGGTAGACTCTATCTTAATTTAAGTTTATGTGAAGAGTCAAGTGGTGATATAAGTAAATCAATGGATTATATTAATAAAGCCTTAAAAATATATTTTGATTCAGATTTAACGGAAGAATTGTGTAGATGTTATTCCATTAAAAGTTCATTATACTCAAAACTAAATAATTTTTCTAAAGCTATTTCTTGTGTTGATCATGGCCTTCAATTAGCCTCTAGACTTCAAAATAAAAAAGTTATTGGTACAGAGCTATTATTACTTAAAGCAGACCTTTTAGTTGATATTAATGATTATCAAACAGCAAAAAGTACAATGATAAAGGCCTACAAATTAAAAGTACCATTAAAAGATGAGTTTGAAGAAGTTGAAAAAAAACTTAAAATTTTAGCTATAATGTGTAAAACAGAAAATAACTTATTAGTAGCATCACAAAATGATTATGAAAAACGCAAAGAGTTAAATGAGAAACTTGGTGATGCTTGTGTTGCATTGAATAAATATTCTAAAGCAATTGCATATTATGAGAAAATGTTAGAAAATTCTGAACGCTATGGAATTAATGGTAAAGATTTAGTTCCTTGTTATGTTTCATTAGCTCAAACATATAAAGATAACAAACAGTATTATCAAGCATTAGAATATTTTAACAAAGAATTAAATGTTTATGACAGAAATAGTATTGAAGCATGTAAAACCTTGTTAAATATTGCTGAATGTATGGAACTTTTGTATGATCCTCTTGAAAAAATTTGGCCAATATATGAAGAAGCTAAATCCATAGCAAAAAATCATAATGATGGCCATCTTCAGTTATCAGCTGTAAGTATCAACATAGTAAATTATTTTATGTACTTTTACTTCAATTTTTTGTGTTATTTATTTTTGAATATTAATAAATATATGAAATCGTAGCACACAGTCGTGGGCTAATAATTTAGTAATTTTTAGTAATTAATAATGTAAATAATGTAATTTTATTATAAATTATAAAAAATATAAATGTTTATTATTTATGAAACTGACTGAACATGTTTAAAATAGTTTTTTAACATGTTCAGTCAGTTTCATGACTTAATATATATAAAAAATTTAATTATTAAATTGATTGTTTAATATTTTATGGACTTATTTTACCTAGCATATGTTGTAGACATTTTTTCTTTTTTTTGATGTCTGTAACTCATTTTTCATAATTTAATGACTTAATATATTATCATGTACCTGCTATTTTTTTCTTAATTTTACTCTCTTTTACAATGAGTCAATGCTGGTCCAAGCAGAATAGAAAACTATATATTTTTATTTATTCAGAATATATGATTGTAAACCCTTTACATAATTATGGAATCATTGTGTACATAAAGTAATAAACATAATATAATATACTACAAAACAAATAATTACTACAAAAAACCAGTATGTTACATTAAATCCTTTAGAGTATTATTTTAAAATTTGAGAAAATAAGTTCTATTAAATATATATATAACCAGGAAATAAACTATATTTTATTTTATTAATCTTTTTAGGTCAAAGGAATGAAATGTCTAGCTGAAAATAGAGATAAAACTGATATGATTATTGCTTTAAATGAAGAGTTAAATTATCTAATGAAATTTGAAACAGATTCTCCTGATTTAGAAAAAGATGTACCTGAAATATGGGATGAAATCTCTGTAAAAGACTTGTCTGATTTTGAAGATGAAGAGAATGACAAAAGAAGAAAAAGACATAAACTAACAACAATACCCGAAAAGAAAAATGAGAAAGGGGAAACTCCTATTATTCCCGCATGTGCCAAAGGAAATGTAAAATTGGTTTTGAGTCTTTTAAAACAAGGGCATTCAGTTAATGCTGGAGATGCTCTTGGTTGGACAGCATTGCATGAAGCAAGTAATTATGGTCATGTTGATATAGTTAATGTTCTTTTGGATCATGGGGCAGATATAAATCATAGAGGTGGACCTGGTTGTGATGGTATTACGCCTTTACATGATGCTGCTGCTTGTGGACATTTAGAAGTTATTGATTGTTTATTAGATAGAGGAGCAAATCCATTAGTTAGAACAAATAAAGGTGAAACACCTCTAGACTGTCTAATAGCTTGCCGCAATAGAGTTATAATAGAAGAAAAACGTGAATTGAGCCCAGATCGATTAGCTCATTTTTGGGCAATAGTTGATCGTTTAAGTGATTGTTTGCGTAAAGCTGGCCATATTCCAGCAGTTCCACCTATAAATGTTGAAGAAATTCTTAAAAATAAAGAAAAACCTGAAGATAATTATTTAGGAATTATTCCTGATAATAGAAGACAAAATAAAAAATGTTCTAAAACAATAACTAAGAAAGAAGAAAACTTTAAAGAAGTAGAAGATTTCAATGCTGCAGAAGAATATAAAAATACCATTAATCAATTAAGAAATAATAATAAAAGAAGAAGAGATAATAATGAAATTCTTTATGAAATATCTCAACCCCCATTAGTAGAACATTCAGTCGATGACTGGTTAGAGGAAGACATCATTTATAAACCAAAAAAAAAACATTGTGGTGAAAAATCTGGTGGTAGTGCTTCGCCAACTATGGATGTCTTGTTTGAAGATGATACTAATGATTGTTTTGAAGATGATAATAAATTGGAAAATATGATAACTGACTTTGAAACTAAAAATGAATCTAGCCCCTTATTGATTTCTGATGAAGATTCTAATGATTTTTCAATTTGTAATAAAAATTCTGATAATACTTCACTTATAAATAAATTAAAACAAAATGAAATTTATACAAATAAATATAAACCTCTTTTACTCTCTACTAGTAATAAAAAAAGCCAACAAAGTAAGTTGGAACATCAAGGATTTGTAAGTATAAAAGCCATTAATTCAAAAAGTCATTTGGATTCAAATGGTTATGTTTCAGAGACAGGTGTAAACTCCATAAAAAAAGAAGATACTTTAAAAAATGTTAATAGTACTATTAAGGTTCGTGTTGAAAATAGATTATTTCTCATTCCTATTCCTGATACTGAACAAAACTTAAATTTAAAGTGGTTAGCAACTGAAGCTTCACGGCGTTATCATAAGCTTGAGAGTGTTACACCAGTTTTAAATTTGACCACAGAAGATGGTGCTATATTAGATGAAAATGATCCAATCAATTTGATAATTGGATTTCAAGAAATTATTGGTGTTGTTGTTGGTTGGAGTACAGAATCACTAACTGATATGTACAAGAAATCATCAGTTGATTCGAATGTTATTTTTGATGAAAAAATTTCTCAACACTTAGAAGTTTTGCAAGCAACTGGTATGTTAAATATGTCTAATCACATATTTAAACGAAACAGTTTGAATATTGCTCTTAATGTAGCATGCCATTATCAAAGTTTAAAAGTATTATGTTTGTCTGGAATAGCATTTGAAGATAGTGGAATGAAATTGCTTTCTGAAAATCTATCTAATTTACAACAATTGAACAAATTAGACATAAGTTGTAATAATATAAGCTCAAATGGTTTAAGTTCATGGGCAACAATTGCAATTAAAAATAAAAGTTTGATTAGTTTAGAATTTTTAGATCTTAGTTACAATCCAATTTGCAATGATGGTCTGTCAAATCTTCGGACAATAATTCAATGTGCTTTGAACCTAAGATCATTAATTTTAAGAAATGTTGATATTGATCAAGACTGCTATGATTATGCATCCGAGTTATATTTAGATAATCTAGAAGAATTAGATTTAAGTTATAATAAATTGGGGCGAACTGGTGTATCTGGATTTTTTACAAGATTAGATCCAATGAACTTGAAATATTTAAATGTTTGTAATACTGGAACTTCAATGGTCTTACGTGAATGTGTTTTATTTTTGGAACGTAGTCAAGCAGATAGACTTCACTCCATTGATTTATCAAGTCTTGATCTTGATGATGAAGACATAGATGTACTTTGTAATTGTTTGGGATCTGTTGGAAATTTAGAGAACTTGTGGTTGACAAACAATCCTAGAGTTACTCAAATCAGTTTAGAACGGATTAAGCATTTAAGTGTTAAATTTGTATATATGGCTGGTTGTAAACCTGTGGATATTTCTTCAGTTGAAAATATAAGTTTAGAAAAAATGTCTCTGTCTGCTCATGGACATTCTAATTTATTTAAAGACGCTCCATACAATGTTAAAATATCTCTGTGATAACTATTTATTTTATTAAATTTGTGTAGTACTTAATTATGTAGTATACTTGAGTAAATTATAAAATTTATAATACTAACTAACTTTTAAAAAAAAAAGTTAACTTGTATTGAATAATTTAAGTGATAATTGTATTATAATAAAGTATTTGTACTTTTATAAATTTTACTTTTTATATATTAACCTTTAATTAGACTGTCTATGTTTTTAAATTAAAAAAATTGAATTATACCTGATAAATAAAAAATAAATTTGTTGTTAATTGTATTTTTCATCAGCCAAACCCTATATTTCAAACGGATCAAGTTTAATTTTTTTAATAACTAATTAAGTAAAGCTCTTTAAATATAGAATTACTAAAAAGAATTTTCAGCAGAGAATACAACGAATTTATAATGGGTTGTAGGCAAATAGGGGTAGTTTCCCTTTAGATTTTTGTTAGGTAAATTAATATAATTATAATGTTTTATATAATATATATTTTTTCAACTTTAAAAATATATATATCATACTGAGTAACTTTTAAACTCGATTATGTACAGTACAATTAAAACCTTTGCTCTTATAGATTTATGGTATTCAGTAGTGAGGAAATGTTTACTGTTAATCAGTGGCCTATTAAAGGGAACAAATAAGTATGTGCCCCTCAATGACTGATATATTGAAATAAAAAAATTTGTTATTTTTTTCATTATCAGCTCAAAATAGATACATAATAAAAAAATACATTTTAACATTTTTGCGGTAGCTTTCAATTGAACAAATTTTTTTATGCTCCCCGTAAAAAAAATGTATAAACGCCCTTGGTGTGACAATTAAATTTTAATTTTTTTATAAAATTTAATTTTCATAAAATATTTTGCTATAAAACATTTGTTACTATGTTCTTACGAATTATATTTTACATGTTTTTTCGTTTACTCTATTCGTAATATTCATATTAATCGGCACAAAGAGGGATGCTGGTTTGATATTTTTATTCGTTGTAAGTTCGAATTAACTTACAAGAGTCAAACAATAGTCAGATATGAGTGGCTAATACAAGTATAGTTTTAAAAATATCACAAAACAACATCGGTCAATCGTTTAAACTTAATTTTCCAACTCTTACTGCCAATTTCCATCATCGCCAACAAACTCTGTCTCGCTTAAAATTTACCTATTACTAGCTATACTAGCAAGAAATCTCAGAATGTCATGTGGGGACATCTCTTTGTGACGACTTGTGTAATAGGATTCAATTCAGATGTGTTGTATATATTACCTATATACTATGTGTTGGTATTTACTACTACAGCCATATGAGCAACTAGAATAAAATTTTTGGTGGTAATAAATTAATTATTCATCCACTCTAAATTGATTTTATATTGCTATATATATATATATATATATATATATATANACTAGCAAGAAATCTCAGAATGTCATGTGGGGACATCTCTTTGTGACGACTTGTGTAATAGGATTCAATTCAGATGTGTTGTATATATTACCTATATACTATGTGTTGGTATTTACTACTACAGCCATATGAGCAACTAGAATAAAATTTTTGGTGGTAATAAATTAATTATTCATCCACTCTAAATTGATTTTATATTGCTATATATATATATATATAATTTTCTACAAATTTGAGGGGATTAATACTTTGCCTGTATAGCTATACCACCCAAGCCACCTAGTTTCGCCTATGGTTACATATTAGTGGAATTTATGGAAGTGATTTTATGATCGAATATAATATCATATTATATTAAATTTTTTCAACCAATTTTTTTCAATTAACATCAAGAAGTGTTATATTGCAATGATTGTAAATAAAAGTTTCTATATTACGTTTATAAATGTACACAAAAATAATTTTAATTTCTAAGTTCGTGCTAGAAAGATTTGGAAAGAGTGTAATAATAAAGGAAACAAATTTATAATTTGAAGCGGTTCAAGGCAAGTTACTTAAAGCATTAGCAAGTATTGCTAAAATAATCAGGTTTTATCTAAAACTGGTTGATCAGAACACCTGTTCCGTTATATTGCTGACCACTGTAGAAGCAAACGCCCTAAGTCATTATTAATAATTATGACTGTTGTAAGATTGATAATCCAATAAGGTTTTGTAGTAACATTACAATAGAAAAATTCTCTTACCCTCAACAATGGATAGTAACGCTTGTATTTTAAGTCCAATCCGTGTACGACGTATTTTGGGATGCGTCGTATAAAAAACGTCCCTAGGTATTAAATGAAACAATAAAAAAAAAACAGTTAAAAAACCGAGATACATTAAATTTGTTAGATCCAAAGAGAAAATTAAATTTAACTTAGCCCGATACAACCAGATTGAAAATCAATAAGAGATTCGACCTAATCTAAAGGAATCTAATTTTGATTAGAGTTGATTTAATATATCTTCTATGGTTATTTTTTTAACGTTTAGAATAATTTAGATGATTAATGGAAAGTTCCTATCAATCTGTAGCGTATTTAGAGGACAATTTCCAATTCTTACTCAAAATTTCCGAGCATTTTTTTTTATTATATGTATTATATATTTTATGATACGTGACGTATAAAAATAGTAATTTTTATTTTGATATTTTTATCAATCACACAAAAACTTATTACAGAAAATTTTAATCTACATCCCTACTATATATTTTCAATAGAAAGTATTTAAACATCTATGGTTAAAGCATTTTATGGTATATTATAAATCATGATCATTATATGATATTTTTAACAGTTAATTGATACTTTTTATTGCGTTAAAATAAACATTGATTTTTATATTTTTCTAAATTATTGTTTAAAACTAAAAATTCTAGTTTACATGATTCCAGTGAATTTTTATGAAAAACACTTAAATAAAAAACACTTCTTAATAAAACCAATACCTTCTCAGATTCGCATCGAAGTTGATATAAGGAAACAAACTCTAGATATAAAGATATAGCATGATAATTTAACGATTTGAAACATAATAGTAACTGTTTACATTTAACTGTACATAATTACACTAATAAATTTATTAGTAAAAATAGTTTTTCGTCCTCCTAGTGATCTAAAAATATTATTACTATTATTCAATATTAGTTAGTTAGGTAGCCTACCTAGTTTAAACAATAACACATCATGCCTCAATGCATAATAACCGGGTTCAAAGACGTCTTGTATGGAGAGCACAAGTCAATATTTAATCTTTATACATGGTTTTTTCGATAAATAGGGTTACTCTTAAAAAATAAACCTAAAATTAATTTGTTGTTTGTGAATTTTTAGATATTAAAAATGTTAGCACCTTAAATAAATAAATAATAGATATTGTCGATAAAACGATATTGATTTTTCGATTCGATATTACTGAATTTTTCAATTTTTCCATGATATTGATTATATTTAAAATATCGCAATAATCTAAAAAAAAAAGTATTTGAATTTTGGTCATTTTTTTTTAGAAAATATATGTTATTTGATATTAGGCCCAAAACAGTTCATGATAATCTTTGAAAGGAGATTCTATTGTTCTCATTGTTATAAAAAATGAGAACAATAGAAATCCTTCTCTTACTTACTGAACCTCTATATATTTTTAATATTAATATCATTATCTGATTTGGTTGGTATACCATAGTCTGATTTTTACAACAATGGTAACTTAACAGTATTCATGAATTTAAAAATAATTGGTGAAAACATTTAAAATTAAAATTAAATTTTTTTTTTTATATCGATTTATTTTTTCATACAATATCAATATATTGCGATACCGGGAATTTTTTTTTTTTCAATATTGGGATATAATATTGCTGAAATTCAGTACGATATCAATATCCAAAAATATATCGTTGATAAACTCTATAAAATAAAGAACTGTGTTTTACATGGTCGACATGGGCTTGTAATTATGTCGGTGTAACTTATAGTTGTCACTGTATCCTTTAGATGGATTCTATGTAATAATAGTACAATTTTTAAGTTAGACACAGTATGACAATACTAATTTTTTTTTTTAATACTAATCTTAAAATAGAAATATTGCATTAATGGTATTATACGAGACTATTCTAACGGGGATGTAAGGGGTGAATCTCCATGTAAAAATAATTATATTCTGAAGATACAACTTTAACATATTTAGTTAAAAATTGTGCATCCCACCGTGATCATTTTTTGAGCACGCTGTATATAATTGCTAATTTATGACAGCTAATAGTTGTATGTTATTTTTACTAATATTAATATAACATATAAGGTGGTTCTTTTAACGTTAGTCACTCGAATTTTCTTAAGACAATAAATATTTAAAAAAATTATTTTTGATATTGTATAGCTTCATATATTTTTCTATTTATCAGTTATTAATTACTTTTTTTTTACCTCATATAAGGATGTCAAATTTATTTTATTTGATGACAACGCACATATTTAACTAGCTTATAAAATAAGAAATATTTTAATTAAATAAATGACTGGTCGATAACAAATTTTAATCTATTATTTTGGAAATCATTACCATTTTGTAATTTTTACTGAAGGTGTAGCGTGGGTTTGACAATATTTATCTTTACTTATTTTTTGGCCGTACTCCTTCTCACCCTTACTTACAAAAAGTGGATAACTTTTGTTAAGTGGATAAATTCCCGAAATACAAATTAAATAAAAAAAAATTATATTATTATTAAACAATTACATTATAACACAATTACACGTGTTGCAACTTTGTTTCTTGCATGTACATATGGCAATATTTGAAGAAAATATTCTTCATCATCGATAATTTTATTCAACATTGTAAAACATATTTAGAGAAAAAAGATGAAGATACAACCAAACCTATAGGTACTTTTGTACTGACATTTTTTTAGACACTATATATAATTTAGCTCCAATGACAACAAAAATGAAAAGCGTCATAGACGCTATTGAAAGCTTTCATCATAAAATATGGTATAATATTTAAATTTTTATTAAAACTTTTACATTTTTTAAAGAAATACCGGAGAATTATAAGAAGTCGTTAATTTCACAAAATAATTCCTTAACCAATAAAAATATATTATTATACCGTTACCGATTTTTTTCAGATAAGAAAAATGAAGTTGAATTAGACATAAATATACTTTGCAAATTAGTACCAGAAAGTTTAAAATCAACATGGGATAATAATTTATAAGAAAAATATAAAAATCTATTTAAAAATAAGCCAAAGATCT